GCGTAATTACAAATCGCGATATTGGATTTTTAAATCTCGTAAATAAGAATCGCAATGTACGACATTTTAATCGCCTGATTAAGAATCGCAACGTTCAACTTTTAAATCAGGTAAATACGAAAATCAATGTTTGAGGGAGAAATGAGGACTTCAATACTTTCGCTTCGCGGAAAATTTAATTCATCATAAAATATTTTAACTTGTGCAAAAAAAAATTTCAGCGGAAATTAGCGGTAAAAATGGAAAAAAAAGCGGAAATCCGCGATTCCGCGGAAGAATCACATCCCTGAGTATAGTAGTCGTGCTAGGAGTGAGACTGGGAAATGAATTGTGGAAAAAATCTAATATTGTAGTGACAAGCAAATATTTAAGTATTCCAAATGGTTACTTTCTTTCGGACTTCATTCAGAAAGCTGGAAGTATTCATGATTAGAAAAATAAGCTAGACGAATCATAAGGAGTTACTATAATTTCCTATTTGGTGGTGGCCTGGCACTTTATTCGTTAGTACATTCATCTATCTACTAGACCTCTATCATACTAGTACCTCTATCATACTAGATTATGTGGAGTTTCTAGACATTCTAAGCAAACTTCTAGAAAATCTTTCATCGAAACCAGAAATTCTTAGTCGCTTCAAGTTTCATAAATGCGACTTAAAATATAGGGAGAGTATTGCCGACTATGCTGCGAAACTCTGGAAGCTGTCAGAATATTGCAAATTTAAGAAGAGAACTGAATTCAATGACGTGTAAACAACTGGTATATTGAATTTTACCAAAAATGCCACATAAGTTTTTTTCTGATTCAAAATTTTCTCGTTACTGCTTTGGGTTTAACATTAGTGGAAGAAGTTACAGTGAATTAATCAAAGAAAATTAGGGATGCTGTTCCATGCAGTCTATATCAGGAAAACTAAAGTACCAAATCTGAGTATTTTCTGTAAATAGCAATAGAGTAATAAAATGTGTCATAGGTGCAGGAATAATCAACTGTATGGGGAATGTAAATTTAATTCTGCACATTAAGAATTTGTAATAATGTAGATTGTTTGCAATTATTGCTGTAAAGTGAGACAAATTGCAAAGGTATGTAGCGTAAAATGTTCTTAAAATATAAACGTTTAAGTATAAAATATTGAGTTATAGAAACGTCAGATATTGATAAAGGATATACTTGTATAAATAAGTTATATTCTATTTGTAATGTCTTCAAATTACTGTACAATGAGCCAAAAAAAAGAAAGGGACACCCTGAATAACTTTTGATCTGATGATCGGACCTTCGCGTTATTAATGGCTCGAGAGGGTGATGTCAAATATGCTAATTATTCAGTGCAGACGATACTTCAAGTTACAAAATTTATTTTCTCTAAATAAATATACCATTTTTCGACAAATTCCGATTTCTGACCCCCAAAATATAGGAAGTAGTCGCAATCTGGGAAATATGGTCCCAATAGTTTAGTCAGTAGAGTGGTCCAAAGTTTGGAGCCCTTAATGTTAATTTTACTCTCTGCGTATTTCCCCATGTCTCTAGAATTTTGAAGGGAATTGAAAAAATAAAACTTGAACGATATTGATTGAATAGTTCCTGAGAAATACAATTTCAAATATGCGACTTTTCACTTTTGCCCTGGCATTCTCTAAAAGTTTCCTCCAACTGCCCCTCTATTTTTGGGAACTGTCCTCCAGTTTCTTGATTTTCGATGTCTTTCTCAACACTGTCGATCTACCTAAGACGTGGTCTTCCTCCTGCTCCCATAGGTTTTGAAAAAATATTTTCTTGCAGTTTCGGTCTTTCTGTATTCTGATTAAACGTTTTAGTCTCATTTTAGTCTTTGTATATTTATGTACTAGACAACATCAGGCTGCCTTAAGATTTTATACAGCTCTGAGTTAGTTCTTCTCCATGAGTCTGAGTTCCACCACAGATACTTTATAGTACCTTTCTTTCAAAAATTGCAATTGCCTCCTCATCATTTAAAGTCAATGCCAGGTCTCAAAAGCATAAGTCGAAATAGATTATATTAGAGTAGTTTAATTCTTAATTTCAAAAAGTTGGATCTAATATTTTTTCGGACTGTGAAAGCATCTTTTAGCATTTATGATTCATTTATTGTATTACTGTAGTAAGGTCATTGTTATTGTTGAATTCTGCTCCGAAATAGGTGAAGCAATCTATATTTTCAAACTTATATACCTCAATTTCCAAATGACTAATTTGGAGATCTAAATTTAAACCCTGCATATACTTGGACTTTTTTTTCTTCCTTTTACTATTAAATTCATTGCCTTTGCTTTTTATTTTAATACAATAAAGGCTTGTTTAAGAGTTTGGAGATTTGATTGACAATATATAAAGCATTTTGTTTCCAGTTCATAATATCAAGTTTTGATTATTTGGAACATATATCAAGGATTAAATTTTTATTTAAAAATTCAGAATTTCAAAATTTTATAGGACACAGTAAAAGTAGGAAAATTATCTATATCATGAAACAATTGTCTAATACTTAAAATATACACATTAAATATGCACTGCACATAAAAATAAACATTGCATTCATAACAATGCTATATATATATATACGAAGCATTTTTATCAATGCAATGTGTATTTTTTGTTTATATTTATATAAAAGAAAAAAGAAAGTATTAAAGTTTTTGATGAAAAAAAAACAACGAGTTGAACTTTTTTGAAAAAAACCAGATTCGTTAATTTATAACTCAATTTATAACTTAATTCGTCAACTCTGAGGAATAATGCAGGCCTCAATTTTCAAATTTTTAGTCAATAATTTGAGAGTGAAATCTTTCGCAAATAAAACTGAAGAACTGAAACCTAATGAACGAAATATTCAGTTTTCAGAGAATTCAACCAGAATAACACTAGTTAAATTTGTAGGGAATGTAATTTAATTCTTCATAAGCTTATTTACATAGATGCAAAATTAAAGCTATAATTTAACAAATTATAAAACAGCTGAAAGGGAGGTTGAATTCTTCTTATACAAGAGGGCGATAATGTAGAATCGAAGGGAAAAAAAAAAAAATTCTTACCATCCTTGCTCCTCACTTAGAGTCTTGAAAGAAAAAGAAGAAATTTCCTCTTTCTTTATCTACTGAAGGCATGTCTCTGTATGCCAGCTGATATTCTATACTGACGTGTTTGTTAGTAAATAAAGAAGATAAACTTGACATGTGCGTGAGAGGCGTTGATGATGACGTATATGTAGGTCACTTTCAGTTGTTTGTTTCTGCTTAGCCTATCGACTATTTAGGTAAATGATTAAATCTAGGATTTTTCGTATTGGTTATCTAAATGGGCTACAGGTGGCGTGGAGAGTCATAGAAGAAGAAAGTATGTTAGATTATGTCTTGATTTTCATATAGATTAAAATGTTCTAAGTTCGTAAACTATATGGAATTGAAAACTAATTAAACATATCTCTAAAAGAAAGCATCATGAAAATATGAAGGAAGTACGCCAGTTTTCATCTTGATTATCAAATAGATTAAAAACTTTTAAGCTAAGAAACTATATGGAATTGAAAACTACAATGAACATAGTTCTAAAAGAATGTGTCATGGAAATTTTAAAACTTACTTTTGACAATTAAATACGAAAAATATTAAGAAAGGAGAAGATATCGTAATACATACCTATACAACTGAGAAAAAGAGGAGAGGGAAGGGGTAAGGTCGAGACATGGAACTGGTCTTCTCCGCAGATGATGTATTCGAGCGTTGCGATCGCCTTCCTAAAACTGGAAAAAATCTAGAAAACTTCTGGTGTAGCCCCCCCCCTCCCGTTTATGTTATCCTTAGGAGGCGATGTGTGAACAGACATAATATTCCAGGACGTGTTATTATTGTGATTTGTGTTTAAATTTACTCTTAATTTTACCATTCATTAGACTATTCTGAAATATATAAATTCTAACAGGTGGCGAGCCTAAACCAAATTAAACAAAATTAATATCACAGGATAAATAAAGTACAAGGTTTGCCATGTTTTGAGTGTTATCCTTATTTGGCTGTATTTTTGTAAAATACAGCCGTCTGTTATTTTTTGGGTTGCATCATAACAAGCTTGGGGAGTATTCCGAATTCATTTGTTGTTTGTCTCGTTGAAAGTCAAATTGAAAAAACGAGTTATATTGAAAGCACTACGAGTATAATAAATTTTCTGGGGCGTTTTTTCAAGCTTAAGCGTAAAAATAAGTCGGAAATAGCAACCTGCTAGTCTAACTGCAAATTTTGACCCACAGCGCCATCTGCGCTTAGCTTTACACGGTAAATCATACATCGCGAGAGTGGCCCTTTACCGCCAAATGTGCATCCCGCAGTGGACTGATTGTTAAGACACGGTTCCCAGCAGATCACCGAAGTCAAGCATCACTGGCTGCGGTGAGTGTGCGGGTGGGTGATCACTTGGATCAGTCTGCGTAGGGACCGAGGGTGTGCGGTATTGGTCCTCGTTAAACTGTTCTGAAGTAAAGTGCTCGACTTCACGTGTAGGTCGTCGGGCTATCGAAGCGGGGGTGCCATCCCATCTGCAGAGGATCAAAATTGTCATGGCATGTCTTCGGATCATCCTCAAGGATGTTTTCCAGACCGTCGCTAATAGCCCATTGCGCATCTCCTGTGCGACGTAAATGAACTACAACTACAGCTGCCAAATATGCACTTTATTGCAAAGGTATTGTCATTACCGATTTTGCAGAAATTTTTAAATATAATATAAAATTTGCTGGAGCGTCGAAAATGAACACAACACACTGCATGAAGTGAAAAAAAATCAAATATGCGAATTTGGAGATGCGAGAGGGAATATGATTGGTAAGTTTTTTGTGGGTAAATTTCACCAATCAGGTTCTCATTCGCACCCCTGAATTTGCTTCTGTGCATACAGTGCGAATGTCCTTGTTTGTTTCATAACATTACTACGCGCGTCTAAGGCACTGTGAAATCCATTCTCACTGCATGCGATTTACGCACCGCGTATCTCCGTTGAGGGAGAATGAGAATCTGATTGGTGAAATACACTGCATGTAATTTTTTTCACATCATATAAAAAATTCTCACTCGAATAAAAACCACACTGGCTAAATTTTTGGCAAAATATTATTCATTAACAGTCAAAATAACAAATTCTCATATTTTTTGTGTGTGAGAATGTTAGTAAGTTCGGAGCAGTTTCGAGTTCATAAATTTATACAAAATCTTCCCTATTAATAACGATTAGATCTGATTAATATTTTTAATGTGTGTAATATTTTATAAGCACAGTCTAATATTAATATTTTAATTTTACAATTGCACAGTTAAACTTCTCTTACAGTTATGTAAAATTAAGCAACAATAATTAGTAAGCCTTAAATAAATATTCAAAAGTGATACTGAATAGTATAATAGAGCATAGTACTTTGTTTCTGTTTGTAAATAGAATACTTAATAATGTACGATATATTTAAATTCTGTGCTGTATCAGACATTATTATGACAGTAAATTCACTATATCTTGAGAAATATTCCATTTAAAAGTCTAATTATTTACGTAGACATAAAATTCTCCTAAATTGTATATGAATATAGATTATAGTAAGGCATTTGTTGTTTGTTTGCTGGTGTGACTGTAGTGCGTTGAGGGTTAAAATTATTGTAATAGAAGGCAGTCCAAAAGTGCAAATTTTCGGAAATAAGTAATAATCTCTTAAAAGGTTATCTGTCCTCATTCTGTTATTGATTTCAGATAATGTATTTTGATACTGAAAGTGAGAATCCAATTAAAATCGGATAAGTTATAGATCACGCTGTTTCCCAACCAATTACATTATAATTGAATTGTTATAGAATAATTACACTAACTGCATCGTTAAAGACAATTTTTAATTAATTAATTAATTTTGATAGTTATAATTTGTTTCCTTTCGCTTGTTATTTTTTTTTGGAATAACTTAAAATGATTTTAAAATTTTATATATCAACCTTCAACCCCCAGCAGTCAGACCGAAAGAATAACAATTGTCTAAATCCAGCTTAAAGATTTTTCGTCTCTCAAAATATATGTAACTTTTTCTTTTTATAGTCTTGAGGATCCTAAATTCTTAATGTACAGAAGTAATCTCATATAGTTTTATTTTGAGAATTTTTTTATGTTTCACAATTGGAATTGCAAAGATATACTTTGCTAAAGTATAAGCTTAACGTGTTATGTTTTCTTAAGCAATTTTTTGTGGGAACCATTAAATCTGCGTTATCATATCAAAAAATTCTTTATGAGAGAAAAAGAAGATTAATATCATATTTTTTTTAATATGCATTAATTATAATAATAAAACAAAAGAAAAATAATAATAAAATAAAAGTAATTGCAATGTTTTATTTTTAACGTTGGATATAAAGTTTTTAGTGTAAAAACAAAAGGTTCAGTTTGTTTAAAATAAACTCGACGCAAACATACCTTAATATTTAAGTCAAAAAAAAGTTTATTTCAAATGCCTTGACACTACCCGGTACAGCATTAGACACCTTAAAAATGTTTTTAAGTTTAGCATTATAAATTTTGCATAAAATTTTTTTTGATCTCAAATAGGTAAAAACTTCTCCAAAGTCAGGTAAATTTCAAAATAAATAAAAAAGTACTTATTTTAATTTATGATGAAAAGTATTAAGAACAAAGCCATCTTTACTTCAAAATATCTATCTTTCACTCATTGGCGTCGTCAGATAAAATTTATTGCGGGGGGGGGGACCATACTTA